CCCCCCCCCTCCGGCAGAACTGTCATGGGTCGTTTATTCCTTTGCGTGGTAGTGGGCCTGGCCTTGATCACCACCGCGGCAACCACCGCTCTGGCCGTCACCGCCTCGTCGGCCAACTACCCGGGAGCCCTGGCGTTGGAGGCTTTGCACCGCGTGATTGACGCCGACCACCGGGAATCGGTCAAGGTGGGGGGCGCAGATTTTGAGGGCGTGAAATTTCCGTGTGTATTGTCTGCTGTGTCTCGTTGCGCTGTAGGTTGAGGAGGGACGATCATGTTGTGTGGGGAGCTTTGCCGAGCCAACAATCTGCCGAACAGCTTGGGCGCGCGTGAAAGGCTAAGGGTTTAAATGAAGACGGCCAACAAGGGGATGGCGTATATCGAGTAGGTATTGTTCTCGGGCCGTGCGTTTTGCCACGCCCCCGAACAGTCCCTAAACCAGGCCTGGCACATTGCTGCCTGGTATCATGAAACGTTGCACGCGGACAGTGAACGACGGGCTGCTGCAGCCGTCAAATGTTGATCGTCTCCTCCACCCCTCCTTTCTTCAAAACTTGAAAGTATGAAGAGCGCGCCGTTTTTCGTTGGTTCCTGTCCAGGGCAGGACTGACGTTCCACTCGAAAGAGACCGACAAACCAGTCCCCCTCCCCCCCTTACCTATTCGCCGTTCTCTCTACGAACGTCTTCAGCCACCGCTCCCCGTTCGTGTGTTAGCGCCCAACTTAGACTTGTCGCTCCATTTTGGTGCCGCGGTTGTTACGAAAACGCCGGTGTTGCCGTAGAACGTCTTGGTCCACGTGGATGCACAGGCGGCCATGACGGGGGTGTCGCGGTTCGGACAGCGCAAGGAGGGGGTGGTGTACTCGAAGCAGGTGTGCCTCGCCCGTTTGTTTTCAGTTGGTCGTTCGGTGATGCTCACTTTCGTGCGCAATCAGTTGTTGCTGTTTGTTGACCCGTGTTGCATGCTGGGGTCCGGCGGTACCTCACCTGGTGAGACGGCTCAGCGACTATACTCCTCCGTGATACCAAGCCAACGCTGGTTAGCCGACGCTATTGCATTTTGTAAATTTGGTTTGTGGTCTCTCATCCCAGAACCGTTCGTTCGAGGTCTTACTGCCGTCTAGCATACAATTTCTTGCATGTGTATGTCAAACGTTACCCATCCGCAATGTCGGTTCATTTTTTTTGTTGGGTTATCCAGTGCTGTAAATGAATTCACGGCTTTTGCCCCGTTAAACGTTGTATACTTCATGTGTCTTGTTTTTTCCGCAGGAGGAAGGAGTGGACTTTTCCAAGTTCGACTTTGTGATCACGAGCGATCCAACCAAACACCGCCTTCTCGACCTGTTTGAGGTATGGCTTGTTCCTGGAGATGAGAATAGATGACGTGCAGGTCCAACCACGTAGAATGCGCTGTATGAAATAAGATATGTTTCCCGCAGGGTGGTCCCGTGCTACCACACCCCCAAACGGGCGTGATCATTCCGATTATCAAGCATGCGGGATTGTCAGCTTGGCCCCACCATCGCGTTGGAATCATACGACAACAATCGCAGAAACGCCTAAATTCTGGCGGTTGTTTTCGTTTCCGCCTCGTAAACAATACTTTGGAAACGTGGTGCTCTCTGCATTCACGACTTTTCCGTTGTGGGACCCGACCCAATCCGTATCCTGGTTCCGCCACTTGTCGTTTCTTGGACGTTATTCTTCATCAGACCAGTCGGAGGTTCTCAGCAGTATGCACCCAACTCCTCCGCAAGCACTAGGTACATGGCCACGATGCTTGCACGAAGCGCACCGCACGATGCATGAGCCCAATGGGCATAGCGCTCGTAGTATGCGCCCCCACTTCCCAGCTCGGGCTAGTTTCATTTAACACATCGCTCGAACCCAGATTCATCTAGAACAGCGTGTTTCCTCCAAGGCCTTACCGACGAGAGTCCTGATGCCGAATGCGTTAGGCGGGTGCGTGAAGAACATTCCGCTTGGTGCTGGAGGATTTTCCATTGTATCGAGCGTGGCTGTTTGCACTTTGTTGCCTGTTTCATAAAATCAGGTCCGGGAAACGATCCAGGGCTTCGAGGGCTTAACCCTCAAGCGTTTCTGGCAAGAGCGGGTCGAGAAGAACGAAGTGGCTGAAACCATCGGCAGCCGACGGGTGATGGATGAGTTGTTTGGGAGAGTCGTTAGCGTTTCCATGAGAGACAAGATGTACGTGATGGCGCGATGGTTCCCGCCCCCCCCGCGCGAGGATCTGGTGTAGAATACGACAGTCGTGGTGCACAGCGAAAATCCCCGGCTTTGTTCTCGATCTAAAATTGGAGCTGATAATCATCAAGTTGGTAGTCCCTTCACACCGGCCAATCCTTGATGTTTGCCCGACAGTCAGTCGTCAGTGGGCGGTCGATGCTTGCCCTGGAATGCTGACCGTTGGTTTTGAGATAACAGATACTTGGATGTTTCTGGTTTTGTCAAGCAATTGTTCAGCTCATTGGATGGAACCTGCCATGTTGCAATTTTTGGTAAGTTGACGTTGATGTAGTACTATTGGGTAATTTGAGACATCATGACCGTCAGGACGTGAAATTGACGTTTGTTGTGCAAACAGGCTTGCAACAATCGGCTAATTATTGTGCTGAAGACCCAAAGTCACTCGCGGATCTATCCTCGTAGCGAGTTCTGCTACCAGGCTTTGGAATGGACATTACTTCAGAAACAATAAATATCCTACCATACGTGCAAAGGGCACAGTGTCAAGCACACAAAGAGGGGGCAGGACTGCCGATCTTTCCTTGCGTTCAGCGACGAAGGCGACCCCCTCGGAGAAAGAGCTGAGAAAAACAAAAAATTGCGGTGGCCGTTTCTCCTGTGTGACCCGGGCTCTTGCGTCAATCGCACCGAAACGTGCCGACTGCCGCCCAGACAGATAGACTAGAGAAAAAATACTCACAACAAAAAGCTCGTAACATGCAGGTATCACGTTTATTCATTCACTCGAACTAAGCTTGCAACACAACGCGACTCTCGCCAATAGGCATGCCGGATCAATACGAAACGAGACCGATATCGGTGCCATTGTCGGTGTTGACGGTGTTCCCCAAAGATTGCCCTAGCGCCAGCAAACTAAGCGCGCACCGCCCGTAAATATTGACGAGTTCTTCAGGCGCTCCACGAGGCGGGTCGGAGGTACCTGGCTCATGAAATGCAAGACAAGCGGAGACGTCGATGCACACGCGTAAAACATGATTGTCGACTCCATCGATTTACTGTTTCCAGGCTTGTCCATGTAGAAGAGCACCACCGCAGCAATCCCTGCTGAAGCAGCCGCGGCCGTTGCAGCCACCAGTCGGACCAAAGGATTTATCACGATGTCAGAGAGTGCCAAAAATATATGCAGGTTGTTAAGGCCGACAATCCAGACGCCTGCGCCACCGAAACCTAGGGCCAGCGTCTCCAAGTTGTCCCAATCAAGGCCAGGGATTCGCGCGACTTCAGCCGCCAAGGTAGATCCACAGTAGCTGGAGGCAAGAAAACGAAGCAGGGCCGGGCTGTCCAAGTGTTTTTCGACGTCAGCGAGCGCGAGGTAGACGACGGAAGAACCAGATACCCCGAGAGCGAGCGTCGACCAGTCCAATGGGGTCACGCCGGTCGGGCAGTGCAGGCTGCACACCGCCGATACGATGAACACCCAATCGACGACTTTGGCGGCAAGTCTGACTGTGCGCATGCCCATCTTAACCAGCCTTTTGAGCGACGATCGTAGGGCACCTGGATTTTTTTTATTTCATACAAGCAGGAACCGGCTTGCGCTTTCAGTGGTGAGAGCTTTTGTTACTAGCACGCAAGGCTCAGGGGGAAATGAATTGCCAATGATTTGGCTTATTATGTTGAAATATGTGAGGTTTCCTGGGATCCGTACGTAGCTCTCTTTAACGTCATCACTTTCTTTGTTGTGCCGGGATTCTTTTTTTGAGCTGAACGTCTAACACTGCATCACTCCGGGCCTTACATTATTGTCCGCACCTCGGACTGCAATTCGTTCCGCCAGTTTCTTGAATCTGGCAAAAGTCTGAAAATGGTGTGGGGAATGCATTTTCCAAGTGACGCATTCCCCGCCCCTTGCAGCTACCTCTCGTTCCATCGTCGGCCTATTTTAAGTACTATTCTGTTAAATATACAACATATCCGTTGAGCTAGACAGTCAGCGCTGACTGTTTAGCTCAGCAGACACGTTGTGCGCCTAACAAAAGTACAACCCGAGGTTCGGATCCCTCTGGGAGCCATCTTGACGCCTTTTTTCCGGAAAGAGAAAGAAGTCTGGGATACACACCTGAAAGGCATGGTACACATCATCAGTCGTCAAGGATAAAGACACATATCCCCGCCTGTAAGCCGATGAACCGCTTGGGGCAGCGCTGATTACAGGGAACACAACCCTGGGGGAAAAACCAGGGTCTAACAGCTGTTCGGACCCTTGTTGTAAATTCGACTGTTTAGCTCAGTGGATATGTTGTATATCTAACAAAAGGAAGAAGATATTCTTCCACTCTCGGCTCGTAGCACCCGGCTGGTCACTGGGAATTAAGAAGTAGAGATCTCCGGGGACGGACCCCTCGCCAGACGCTGCAGGAAAAGAACCAAGGGTGCTTGTGAAAGCGACCATCTGGGATCCGAACCCGTGCGTGTAGCACTTGTTAGTGAAGGCTTACCCCATTAGACTACTGAGTAAGCACTGACTTGTCTAATTAATGGTGTAACTTTATCTTACATTTTCGCCCGATACGGTGACGAACACAGCTGAACGTGCAAACCCTGAAAATATCACCCCTTTTCTCTCCTGCCCGAGTAGGTGAGCTTTTCCTCTCGTAGCAGTCACTTCATGTGAACACACGCGCTGCCTAGGCTAACCTTATCAAGCTGAAGAAAGTTCTGAGTTGGGGGGGTGGGGAGGTGGGGGCGTGGGCGAAGAAACACACACCTAATGGTCACACCCTTCTGGCTGGCATCGCTACTCTTGCTGGGCGTCTTACGTGGTGGTTGGCCGAACCTCATTCGTGGAAGACATGTATCATTTTTGTCACTGAAGGGCGCGCCATGAGTCACACGCCCCTGGTACCAAAACAGTTGCAAACGGGATATCAAAAACGATATTTGTGGCCAGTAGCTCACTCACGTGGTTCGGGGACTCGAGCCAGAAGGAGCCTCAGGATGAAGCGCGAAACCTTCCGTATCATCCACAGGGAAAAGGTTGTTACAACAAATACCAGTATGCCTCGCGGTGAGTGGCAGGAGTGGTCATTTGGCCGGCTCTGCTTTTTGGAGATTGCCGGATCCAGCTGTGTATTGTGGTGGAGATTGCCCGGCTGTCCTAGACCTTTCATCAACGGACAAATTGTTCCTTCCGTCAAGCTTTGCCGGATTTTGGGTGAACAAAGAGGAACGCACGCAGAGAGGCAGGGAGGAAGACGGGGACGTACAGGCAAGGTATTCATTTGTGGGTGACGTTTCAGGACGAGGAACCTTGCGGAACATTCTCTGCCGCATCACAAAGATCAACAAGCACATAATACCTCGCAAGACTTCACGGCGAAGGCGTAGCTGGCCCGTCACGTCAACGCCAGTTGGGGTGGAAACCGCAACCTTGCGGATTCCCGGGTATATTGCGTGTGAAGCGTACGCGCTTGCATATGCTACACCACGCGGGGTAACTCGGATATTTTTTCTTTAGCAAAGGGAAAAGCAGTGTTGCCACATCTTACCAGCTGCGGGGGGCGCCGACGGGTTCGCCCATCGCGATGCGGGAAAATGTTTCCGCGCAACACTTTCGTTGCTGTGGGGTCATCCTATCGACGGCCGCATTGAAGTCGCGGAGTTTCGCAAACAAATTGCCAAACAACATTTCGATGTATTTGTTGTGTAGCACGTGAACTCCGATTGGGTGTGGCCACCTCTGTCGTACCACCTGGGAACGAGACGATCGGGCGAGGAGCACGCAGCCGGAGCGTTCGACGAAAAAACGTGATGTAGTCTAGACTACATCACGGTTTCCATATACGTAAACTGCATACTGATATGCATATATGGGGCAACACCTGATGTTACGTGGGATTGTCTCGAGATATCCTTTGTTCGTCATGCATCCACAGCAGTGCTATATAATCGTCCCAACAAGGGTGGGGCGATGAATGATGGTGAGTTTCCAAATAGTAGACTGGTGTCGATCTTTTCCAGCAAAGAGGCCGACTTTCGGTTTCCGCTACTTCAGATGCAGCTTAGTTGTTGAGGAGACGCATGCTAAACATCACTAAGTTGACGCCAACAGCCACACTTGAGCCAATAACATCCTGTAACGTTTCAAAGAGAATATTTTTAGAGTGCAAATAGTCGAGACTACAGGTGTTGTGTTGTTACATGAGCGGGTCAGGTAAATAAACCGAGCTCACCAGGACATACAAAACAAAGAAATTGAGCACAAGTTGGGAGTCCGGTTAAGAACCGCTTACCCTAAAGCCTATGAAGTGACCAGTTGTTATCCATGCGAGGAACTATTGTAGGAACCTCAGCCCCGGCCGAAACTAGGAAGTTCTCACGTGCAAGCGCGATCTTTTGACTATTAGACTATTGTAGATGAGCAATCTCGCCGCATACATAGAGGAGTCAATCGAGGGTTCTAGTCTACATCACAAACGGCTGCCTTTCATCGCCACCCTCCCATCACAGTTCCCTTGCCTCAGACACCTACCTCACCCAACCTAGTAGCTTACTCGGACAAGCGCCTCGGATAGCAGTGCACGTGGATGCAGCTGTTGGGGTGTTTGCTGTGCAAGACCGACTCTATTCTGCTGTATGTGTTTGATACGGTATTGTGAAGGCGTTCTGTTTTACTGTAACCGTCAGGTGCAGACAGTCCAGGCGTCTGTGTGTGGATAATAAATCACTCTTTTTGTTTTCTCTACCAAGCCTCTACCACATACGCCAACCAGCGTACTGCAGCTGTGGTACCGCCCAACAGGTTTTGAGCCACGTATAGCGAGGTAGGGAATCATCTCGAGTCAAATGGCGTCATCAGCGCAACAGCAGTCGTCAAATCATCTGCAGCGCGGATATGTCGCGTTCAGCGGAGAACCCGGCCAGTTTGTCGGTTGGGTCTCGCTTTTCCGTGCGCTGATGTACGAGGCAGACCTAGGTCGGGTCATGTCTGGAGCGGAGAAGGCTCCCACGGTGGCGGAGGATGCCGACGCCGCAACGACCGCGACGTACGAGAGGAAGCTACAAAAGTTCCAAGAAAAGAATGGCAAACTCTACACGCGGCTTCTGCTGGCTACGTCGGACTGCCCGGAAGGATACTCGAGCCCGGCTTCGCAGGTAGTGCAGTCGTTTGGGCCTGTCGGGGACGAGGAGTTCGGTGACGGTCGAAGTGCTTTTGTAGCGCTCGAGCAAAAGTACCGTGTCGATGGGACTTTCAGAATGCAGCAGCTACACGATGAGTTGGCCGCCGTCGCGGTCACCGCTGCTGACAAGTACGATCCGGCTCGCGCAATCCAACAATTGCGCCGCATCTTTCACGAACTCGGCAAACTCGGAGACACAGTCGTGAAACAACGGCAAGCACATGCCATCCTAAAGGCCCTGCCCGACAAGCAATACGGCTCGTTCAAGACTGTACTGTTGGTAGAGTCGCCCACTGTTGGTAGCGGTGCGCTAGGCTTCGACGATATCGCACGTCGTGCCACACTCTACCACGCAATGCAAATTCGCGGAAAAGTGCTCGACCAAGACGATGGGTCGGGCAGCCACGGCCGTGCGTTGAACACTGTCACGCACGGAGGGGCACGTGGCTTCCGCAAGCACGGCGGCCGTGGTGGTCGTGGTGGTCGCCGAGGAAATGGCGGCAGAACTACAAACGGTTCGACGAACGGCTCGTCGAATGGGAACTACAGCAGCGGCGGCGGATCGGCCGGCAACGCTGGAGGCGGCAGCGCGGGAAATGCGCAAGGTGCTCGCGGGAATTATCGCGGCAACAACGCCTCCGGTGGCCGAGGTAAGGGCCAGGACACCGGTCGGAACCGAAAAGGGCGCTGCCGCTACTGTCATAATTCGACAGAGCACGGGTGGCACAACTGCCCGCTCCGCCTGAGGCACGAGGCGGAGGAAGCCACTGAACAGGCTGATACTCACCACACTCAAGACTCCACCACTCAGGCATGGTTCACGCGGGTGGAGACTGAAGGCGATGTGCTGGAGGACTACGCCATCTCTTTCGGAAAAGACGTGCAGGTGCAGGATGCGCCTGCTGCGGCGCAGCCAGAGGAGCGCGCTGCTGGTGACACGCTGGTGCAAGACGCGCCGGTGCCGACGCTGCAGGATGCACGCGTTGTGTATGACCCGCAGGTACTGGACACACCTGCTGCAGCGGTGGTCTATGACCCTGCTGCCAACGGATATTCTCAGACGGAGGAGGCGCCTGAGGACACCGAGCTCGTTGCGTTCAGCAGCGTGTTTCAGGTGGACAAAGAGAAACCGCAGGTCGTTGATGATTCCGCCTGCTACATTGATTCCGCCGCGTCCAGCCACATGGTGGATGAGCAGTCTCGCTTGTCCCATCACGTCCTCAATCCGGTAGATTGCGCTGTGCGCATTATCGGGTCGTGTGGCACATCCGACGCAACCAAGAAAGGTACCCTGAAGTTTGGGGTGCGCAATGATCAAGACCAAGTCGTGCGAGTAGCTCTGGAGGTTCTGCTGGTTCGGGGCCTTGGAGCGAACATACTTTCGGTTGGAGCGCTGGCCGAGAAGGGGGTGATGTGTGATCTGATGTCTACCCCGCCGGCGCTTCGCATGGGCAACCAGGTCTTTCCGATCTCGACCGCAGTGCCTCGCATGTACGTGCTGAATGTCATCATCGACGACGTCAACCTGGGCGCTGTAGAAGTAAATCGCACGAAGGTAGACGCTCACCTGTGGCACCGGAGGATGGGCCACTGCAACTCGCGAGCGCTGCAGCAGCTGGCGGACAAGGACACTACCGGAATCAGGTTCAATCGCAACATCGAACCAGGTGACTGCGGTGTTTGTGCGGTTGGTGACAGTAAGAAGGGCAGCCACCCCCCGTCTAACCGTCCCCTCTCGGAGACTCGGCTGGAAATTCTAAATGCCGATACGTGGGGGAAACATCCTATTGCTACATACGGGGGTTGCCAGAGTGCCGTGATGTTTACTGATGACGCTACTCGCATGAGGTTCGGCTACCTACTCAAGACGAAAGACGAAACGGCCGAAGCTCTTCAAACTCTGGTTCGGGACGAGGCCGACCCGCTTGGTCAGAGCATCGGCACGGTGCACTGCGACGGGGGAGCGGAGTATTTGGGCAAGTTTCTGGCGCTATGTAAGTCGCTCGGAATCAAGCTCACGAATAGCCCCCCCTATGTCCCGCAAGGGAACCCCATCGCCGAGCGTGGATTTGGTACCATCATCGGCACTGCCCGCAAGCTTCTCTTGGGAGCACCGCACCTTCCTCAACAGCTGTGGGGGGAGGCTTTCATGACTGCAATCTACCTCAAGAATCGGACCCCGACCGAAGTCCTGGGCGGCAAGGCACCACTCGAGGTATGGGAGGGGAAGCCGCTCGGAAAGATGCTTCACATCCACGAGTGGGGGTCGCTGGCTTTTAAGCACGAAGAGGTACGCGCCCGGTCGAACAAGTTGGCGGCCAGGGCCAAGAAAATGTACCTAGTAGGCTACAACTCCAAGGGTAGGTCGTATCGACTTTGGGACCCTTCGGAGCCTCTCAAAATCACCAACTCCGTGGAGGTATCGTTCCGTGAGAAGAGGATGCGCGACGTGATCAAGCCCAAACTAGGGCAAGATCCTCTCCCCGCGCCTAACTCAACATTCTATCGGCCTGGTCTGGTAGACTCTATCGAAGAAGAAGAAGAAAATAACGAAGAATCATCCGACGAATCGGAGCCGGAAGCACCGGCACCTCGCCGCAGCAGCAGGAACTCCGTGGCGCCGCAACGGTTGAATCTGTTTACGAAAGAACAGGCGTACGAGAGGACCGAACATGCTATGGTGACTGGAAGTGACTTCGGCAACCTCGGGAGAGGCAGTCCCGGGGAGGTGGGCTACATGCCTGCCGATCCTGCCACCTACGATGAAGCGATGAGTGGACCGGATGCAGCACGCTGGAGAGCGAGCATGAACGATGAAGAGCAGTCGCTCTACGACCACGACGTGTTCGACTGGGTGCTTCCGCCCGAAGACGCCCAACTTCTTCCGACTAGGTTCCACTACAGGTGGAAGTACAACCAAGAACATGTGCCAGTTCGCCCGAAGAGTCGCGTGGTGGTGCAAGGTTTTCACGAAGCTGACACGGGAGCGGATAAGGCTGCACCGGTGGCGTCTATGGAATCTGTCCATCTAGTGGTTTCCCACGCTGCTGGTTTTGGCCAAGCTCTCAGGCAGGCCGACATGAAGACGGCTTTTCTCAACTCCAGGATGTCCAAGAAAGACAAACCTATCTACGTAATACCTCCGAAGGGGTTCACGTGCTCGCAGGAGCAAACAAAGCTGGTCTGGCGACTTAAGGCGTGGCTGTACGGCCTACGCCTCTCTCCGAAAAGCTGGAATGGGACGTTTCACCTGTTCCTGCTGGAGATCGGGTTCGTCCCGAGCACCGCCGATCCGTGTCTGTACACGTTGAACGGGGGAGAGGTCATCCTGCTCGTCTACGTGGACGACATCCTACTTACCGGAGCCAAGGAGGAGCTCGTGACGACCATTATCGAACAGATGAAGGAGCGCTTTGAGACGGTGGACCTGGGAGAAGCAAAGTTTATCCTGGGAATGGCCATCCAGCGCAACCTCGAAGCGGGCACCATCCTACTGACGCAAGAAGCTTACACCAAGGCCGTGCTTGCTAAATTCGGCATGGCTGACGTGCGCGCGACGGCAACGCCGGCCGAGAAGGAGCCGGTTACGACCAAGGAAGAAAATGCTCTGTCGCCGGAGCAAACTACCATGTTCCGGTCGGCTACGGGTTCGGTCCTATACATCAGCAGGGGATCGAGGCCAGACATCTCTCACTCGGTGCTGGTACTCACGAAGAGCATGGCTAAACCAGGACCGAAGGCGCTTGCCAAACTGAAACGACTCATGCGCTACCTGAAGGGGACGACCTCTTTGGGCATCACCTACCGCAAGGACGCGCAAGGCGGAGATAAACTAACCGCTTACGTCGACTCTGACTTCGCAGGCGATCTTGACGATCGAAAATCGACTACTGGGGTCGTTCTTACCCTCGCAGGTGGCCCGGTGGACACGACAAGTGTAAAGCAGACGGTCACTGCCACGTCGTCGGCTGAGGCAGAATACGTCGCAATGTCCAAGGCGTGCAAAATGATCCTACACTGGCGTCATCTTCTCAAGACCATCAATCGAGAGCAGACGGAGGCTACGGTGTTGTTTGAGGATAGCACTGCTGCCATATCGACTAGTGAATCGAACAAAGTAACGCAGAAAACGAAGCACATCGATGTCAAGTATCACCACGTAAGGTCGCTGATCGTTAACAAGGTAGTGGAGGTAAAGAAAATCGACACCAACCTCCAGAAGGCTGACATGTTGACCAAGAACCTAGGAACGGTTAAGTTTCTCAACAACCGTCGCCAGCTTCTAGGAATGTAGTCACCTCCCCTCTTCGTAATCTTAAGGGTTGAATGTTGAAGGAAACTCGGGAGATCTGTGTAAGAGGAATGTTTTCGCTGCTTGTTGAAATGGCAGGTAATGACTATTTAATTTTGAGTTGAGATCGCAAGTACTCGTGAGTTGTTTTCGAGAGGACATTATTTTGAGAGGACATCGAGAGAAGATTCGAGTCTCATGTATCAGAATGACGTACGTTCTTGAGAGCACATGTTGGGGTGTTTGCTGTGCAAGACCGACTCTATTCTGCTGTATGTGTTTGATACGGTATTGTGAAGGCGTTCTGTTTTACTGTAACCGTCAGGTGCAGACAGTCCAGGCGTCTGTGTGTGGATAATAGATCACTCTTTTTGTTTTCTCTACCAAGCCTCTACCACATACGCCAACCAGCGTACTGCAGCTGTGGTACCGCCCAACAGCAGCCACAGAGCACCCGGCCCCTGCTGGCACTGCTGTGGAGCCGAATGGTCCCAGCAAAATAGATATTTATTTGGGAATCCGCCAACTATAAATATGTACATGCATTTCGCGTACCCCCTTGTAGCGGCGTTGAGGGGGCTATGCGGCGCAATTGAGAAGCGGCTCACACAGCACTCGTGTCCATGATCCCTCGATCGCCGTCCAAAGTGCCGATCCCTGCAGCTCGGCATATACCCCCAGCGCCTGTGAGACAGCCTCCGAAAACCTTCAGCAGTAATTCCTCACGGCGCGCGGTAACCCTACTGGTCAATATCGAGGAGGAGACTGGTGTCGATCAGGATCCACGGTCCGGTGTGATCCCCGCTACGGGTAGTCTACACAGCTTAGGCAACATACGTATGTGGTAACACTAGACTGTATGTATCTACATTTACGTATATATGCACAGCCTACACCAACCCATTGACCAGCCTGCGAAATAGTCCTCCTTTCGCCTTGTTGGATATTGTTGCTCGTCTGCGCTCCTAGGGTCTCTCTCGCGTTCCCTCAGCCATTCTCTGCCGGGTGCTGGCGGCGCAGATTTTGTGTGGATGACGAGTTCTGGAGACGGACTTCGATTTGTCTACTTCAAGAATCAGTTGTTGCAATGCCCTCGCTCTCACCTCTCTCTCTATTGCTACGTACCCCTGCCTGGGGAATACTCTTCGTATTTTTTAGAAGCGCTGAAGAAGAGCGCACCTTCTTCAGCGGTCAGCTCGCCGAAAATATCAAGACAACAACACATCATCATCAATTGCTAGACTACTCAACTACAGTCTCGGTTTCTTCCTGGTTATCACGTCGAAATCTCATTCTTTTTCTACGCTTTCAAATTGACCACCAGACTCGTTCCCTCAACTCCGCCTGGTGCACCGCCATGCACCGCCAGAAAGGGGATAGAAGAAGAAGATACTGCTGTAGACTCGTGCACGAAAGCCCTCTCTCCTTCCTCTCATTGAGGAGAGACCTAGTTTCAAAACCCGTGACCTACCGCAATGCACACACACACCACGCAATCTGCCACACTACACTACTGGCAGTTTGCTAAACCGCCCATGGGACACCCATGGGGCACCCACTTCATTGGCCACCCATAGGCAGCCGATGGCCAGCCCGATGGGCGGCTCATGAAGTGCCCATGAAGTGCCCACCGTGGGCACGAACCCACTTACTTACGTGTCGTTGTCCAACAAAAGTATACCTATCTATGTCCAATGGTGGTTCTACAATATATAGTCAATGTACTACTGGTGGTACATTGTGGTAAATCATTTACGCCATTCTATGCATAGACTATGCATGCCCTTCATTAATACTCTGTATGTATGTAGCAGAAATCCCTACGACGTGCACATCTTGACACGCCCATATTTTTTTTTGTGTTTTTGTGTGTCCATTTTTTTTCCATTTTTTTTTCGTGTTTTCGCCCTGAAGTTTTGGCAAGATTGCTACTAGTCTACAGCAACAGGGCACGCCTCTCGCCACGCTTATTCAACAGATGAGTCACTGTGGTGTAGAGCATCCAGCTGCAGAACCATCACAATTACCAGGGAAGACGGGGCCGAGTTTTGTTTGATTTCGGGTGGATGAGGTTGGGGTTTTGTTCGTTTTTCTCCATCTAAGGTTCGTGCCTAGAGTTCAGCTGTAGTGTTTCGACAAAAGTATTGTTGACTTAGAGGCAAACATTCCTAGCTATTGGGCATCGAGTTAATTTGGCTTGGCATGACGGCCTTTACGATCGACTTTTTATGTATGTCTGCATTTATCTGCAATTGTCGGAGGGCAAACAAAATAATAATAATAATTACTATTATTATTGATTGGTTCCTGCCTAGAAAAAAATGCAATACCATACATCCCGACATCATGTACGTGTCTATATTCCATGCTAGCGATATGGTATCGTCGCCTTTCAAATGCAAACCTGATGTCACTTGCATTTGACCGCGAATGCAATTCTATCGAATCAGATCGTTTGAATTTTCTTTTTCGTACCCGAAACGATAACAACAGTTCTTCCGCGCATGTCCCCAAGACAATCATGTGTTCATCCGCACCGAGCACTGAACGAGGTCAGCTGCTATCACCACCGATACTTTTTGGTGTGCCTCGTTCGCAACGATACTCCGTGAGTCATTGAACAAATGGAGTGACATAGCACGTAGACGACGAGCTGGCAAGGATGCTTGTTCAACCGCTCGTCGAACCCAGTCCAAATCCAGGATACGTTACTCCCGCGTATCTCGGATGTTCGATCTTCCTCCTTTACGAGATACGTTCACCGAAGATCGAAAAGCTTCTTCCTGAAGACCAGGCTAGAAATCCTTGATTCTTGCCAACCGTCAGCTAACAATATCTTCGGACCGGCGTCACTATGCGGTCAATGCGGAGCTGCTCTGTTCAAAGGTGAGACTTTCGTTCCTCATAAGACGGGCGTCGGTTGTAAATACCGTGTCCAACATAACGCATAAAAAACATGACGTTACCGCTTCAGGGCGAATCTCCTGGCATGTACATGCTGCAACAACAATGGACAGTCGGTTCGGGTTCTTGCTCTCCTCTTCATTCACCACCCAACCAATTGCTGCTTCTGCGCTACATCATGTTCCGTATATACATGCTCAGCTCGGTCTTGCTCCTCTTCCTTCCCCACCCAACCGATTCGTCTCGCTGCACTTCTGTGCTCCTCTTCCGTCACCCCCCAACCAATTCGTGCTGCGTACGTCAGTGGCATAACGTGTCCAATACATCATATCCAAGCACATACTCCTCCCAATCCTTATCATTCCCACCCTCTCTATTTCGTTCATCATTTATATCTCCCGGTGGCCGTCCCCCCTAAAGGACAGGCGGCCGCCCTAGTACCATCAAAAAACGACTACCCGTTCGTTTTGGCAACTACCCCCTTCGAAAGCATAATACCCACACTTCGTCTTGCTCCTCGAAGGGAGACGGCGAGTCCGAGTGCACAAAATGAGCCAATGAATGCAGTGTCCAACGCGATTTTCTGCGACGAGTCAGCCATAGGTATCACTTTCCAGTGAACGGTTCATGCTTCGACAGTCGAATAATGTACAGTACACCCAACAGAAATATATATGCAATGCATGCAAAGTGTGCCACGGGCATCGGATGGCTGTTCTAGGAAATCTAAGGGGAAATCGACGAAAACATACACTCTGATTGGGGTGGAGGCCGCAACAACATATGTAGCGTTGGCGCGGAGTGATCTACCCGTAGGGGGAGTGATCTACCCGTAGGGTCAACATGTTATAGGCCCACAAGCGTTTGCTCTTGTGCCTCGTCTATTGTATCCGCTCTTCTTCGAGACAGCTCACACCATGTCACGCCTCACGGTGTATCTCAACTAGTCTCAGAACCCGACTCTTTAGAGGTTGTTCTGAGTTCTCGAGCTTTATTTGCCTGGTGGTATGTGAGGAGTGAAATTCCTGAGAGCCATGTGATGAAACACCGCAGGCTCAATCATCTTCATCCGTGCGGCGCGCTGACCCAGGGCTGTCAACCTCATGAGAATGTTTTCCAGTGCGTGTACGCCGAGAACCTGCGGATGCATGTTATTTGGGGGGGGAGGGAGGCAGCAGTGGACAAGGGAACGGCGCGATAGGAATGTGCCTTGTGTAGGTAGGGTGTGTTTTGTTGTTTTCTGGGATGCATTGATGTTCGGTTGTGGGGATGCAATGTGAGGAGGGGGTGCCATGATGAAGTGCTTCACCGGTAGAACATTGGTTTTCGGATTCTATCGGGTACCGGCAAAACACGTTACTAACACACAGGTGAGAGAGCGCTGAGCCTTCGGCTGAGGACCGTTCCCTTTCAAAAAATTAATAGCCTTTCAACATGGAGGGGCGGCCATGGTGTAACACAATCTCACAAAGAACGTTGATCGGAGACTACATTGATTGGGACTCAATGGAGGGCAGTGGCTTCCCACATAGCGGTTAGAGAAGGGCAACTCGACGTACCTGCGATAGAATTTTATCTGGCTTCATCGCAAGATTGTGTAAGCTAGCTCTAGTGCGATAGATTGCACCTATCAACACGAGTATGAACATCTTGTGGGTAAAGCACCTAGTCGGCACGGAGGTCCTATGTAGGTTGTGCAAAAAAATTCTAGAACGCGAAACACACTATGATAGAACTGGCGCACGGCCCACCCAACTATTCTCATCAAATGGTTGGTTGCCCAGACGAAAGGTTCATATCATAGTCTACACATCCAATTTTCAGCCACGCACCGTGCGTTGTCCTTTCAATGCGCGAAGGGTCAAACACAGAATCGATTTTGATAGCGATCAGAAGCACAACGAAGTGCAGCACGAAGCCGATTGCCGTAGCGATAAAGTAGTGCATCCTAGCCTCGAAGTGTTGGGTAGTTTTGAACTCGAAGTCGCGAGTGCCGATCCCGATAGTACCGATCTTGGCAGGTTCGGTATTGGTAGGACCGCCCTTGGTCGGGCTGCTCTTGGTAGGGCTACTCTTAGTAGAGCTGCTCTTGGTAGAACCGGTCTTAGTAAAACCGGTCTTGGTTAAACCGGTCTTG